ACGATGTCCAGCTGAATTCTCCAGTCACCATGGCCTCTATGCCAGTGATGCAGTCTGATATTCCTTCAGTGATGAGTCCCATGCCGACTTGAGCTAATGTCCCAAATGTAAATGCAGTGAGCAGTGCTCCTCCAATAATCTGTAAAATTCCAAGACAGAACACCAGCAGACCTTCCCATGAGAAACGAGGCTTCTCTTCCACAGAAAATACATATTTCAGACCTTGACTGTAGAGGTTGTAGGCTTCCACTTGGAGCTCTTCATCAGCAGTCGACACCAGGGAGAACATTGGGGATTTATTGACTATTGCATCTCTCCCTCTTTCTTTGATCTCATCCAGCTTCTGGATGGCCTCACTAATGTTTTTGTCGAAGTAACTCAACATGCTGCACTTGGTTGTTAACTGTTTTTCAAGGCTGGTTTGGTTACTGTTGGCTGAGTGTGCAGAGGACATTTTTACAAACTGCAAACAGACCACGGATTGTTCACTGAGATACTTCAGAGACTCCTGAGCCTTCTTTAGATCATCTCTGGCCTTAGTCAGGTAATCTGCTTTCTGCTGCTTTATAGTGCAGTATGCATGACTGTAAAAAGCTATGGCTGCCCAGCTTTCATCTTGATTCATGGCTTTTTCAAATAGCCTGGCGCTGACGTCCCATTGTTTTTCACTCAGCGCGACATTTCCAAACGTGATGTAGTGATAAATGCTAGAACACGGTGAAGTCTGACTTTGAGACTGACTTTGTGCCAATGACAAATCAGCTTTCAAACTCGTTTGCAATTCATTTCTCTTCAGCTGGTCAATTTCCTCTGATTTTGTTTGCAGCCATATCCCCCAGAACTCATTCATGATGGCAACAACAGCTCTTTCCTCTTCTCCATCTGTCTTCTTATAAACATCTTCAAGAGTTTTGCAGTACTCTGAAAACAGGTCCTCTCGCAGTTTCAACTCAGTGACATCGTTCATCATGTGATTTATCTTTTCTGCTGCAAGTCTATCTCTTGTGCTCTTAGCTTCCTCCAGAGAAGACACCGTCCTGAAAGACTGGTGTTCAGTGGACGCGATTATCTGAGCAGATCCAGGTTTACCTTTACGAGCAGTTCGACCAAAAGCCTGGAGTTCCACTCTTGTGTTCTCAGAGAGGAAGGAGAGGATCACAAATAGTCCTCCATTGTTGTTCACCCGTTTGGACACTTTTATGTCTGTGCCACGCCCGGCAAGGTTTGTGGCAACAATGACATCACCAGGTAGCAGCTCCCTTTCTATTTTGCTCAAACTGTCTTTGTCGCTGCGGCAGTAGAGAATGATCTCACCTGGGATGCTGCTTTTCAGCTCTTCGTAGATCTCTTTGGCTTTGTTGATAGTTTCACAGATCACCAGGGCTGCTCTTCCATCTCTGTATGAATTTGGGGAAATCTGAGCCATAACCACACGTTTTATTTCAGATTTCCACTCTTCAGCTGAGGTCTTCAGAGTACCTTTGACCTCAAATAACTTCTTCCGGTCAAATGTTGGCATTTTGCAGGCAGACAGATTTGGATATAGCTCCTGCAAAAACAGAATGTCTGCTTTGCTCCCAAGTGTCCCCGTTGTTCCATATATTTTCCCATGGTACTTTTCAAAAAAGGAGATGTTAGACACGTAGTTTGTCACTGTTGAAATTGTGCTCAGTTTGATTTGGTGTTTAATCTCAACAAACTGCTGCAGACCATCCCCCCATTTCTTATTCAGTTCTATTATACCAGTTGACCTGAAATTCACTGGACAGACGTTGTCGTTTTCTACAACATATTTCTACAATCCCTTGTCGTCTAAAGTGTAAACAGTGAAACCATAGGGGACATAGTCCTCAATTTCTTTGAAAAACTCTACCACAGCATCCTGACTCACAGTTTTCAGTTTGATCAGAAGTTCATCCTTTTCACTTTTGTAGGTATCATCTGTAAATCCACTTGGCACAGTGTTGGTTTCTTCAGCGATACGTAAAATGTCCATTGGATCATTAATGTCAGTTTCTTCTGTGTCTATTGAGTCAAAGATGGCCTTGAAGAATGAAGCAGGAGGACCTCGGACAAATGTCTGGTCTCCTGTAGACAAGAAGCCATACTGGCTGACGTGGCCCCAGATCATGGCCAGGATGATGTTCAGGTGCTGCATGCAGACCATGGGGCTGGACAGGTAGGTCAGCTGCACTCCCTGATCCAGCAGCAGGGAGTCCACTTCATCGATTATGATGCACTGATAGCTGCGATCAGGCCTCACATCCTTCATCTCAAATATCTGGCGAAGGTGATCTGCAGCGAAGGCTTCGATAGTGCCATAGACCACGTCCTTCTGGTAGCATTCTTTGCGATCTTTATCTTGGGTTTTATTTGTGTTTGTGTCAGCTGTCAAGCCAAAGTACTTGTAGAAGTTGGTCCATTCTTCTGCATCTCTTTGACATAACACAGAAGAGCTGGACACCACATCTACTTTTTCACCCCTAAGCGCACGCAGCACTGCAAACATTGCTATGACACAAGACTTCCCTTCTCCAGTGCCCATCTCCAGGAGAATCCCAGTGTCAGACAAGGCCAAGAGGCACCAGCTGATCATCTGGGTGGTTCTGGGCCACCACTTCCCTTCAGCCTGGCACAGGTTTACAGCATTGCATAAGACTGCCAGGATCTCCTGAAGGTCTTCTGTGTCCGTGCTGTGACTCAGATTCCTAGCTCGCCGTACATCTGTGTGGTTTTTAATTTCACCGGTTTCGATCAGGTTTGTTACATGAGTTACTACACTGTATGATTTACTCAGTGTTTGTTCATCGATGTCTTTCATCTGCCGTATTTCATCAAACAGAGTGTCAAGGCTTTTTGTTTTCTCATCTCTCAGGCTCTTTTCTAAATGCTGGATCAGATTCTCAGTTCTAGTTGACTCTAAGAGTTTAAGGAGAGATTGGTTGTCCTTGTCTGTCCACGTGGAAGACACCTGATACGTTGCCATCAAGTGTAAAATCTTCATGATGGAAATACAGTCTTCATCATGATGGTGGTCAGTTAATGCTCCAAGGAGGTTTAAGGCCTCTATGGGGGACCAAAGTCTAAGATTTGAAACCATCTGGAAGAGTTCCTTGATTTGTGCTGTTGAGTCTTGGAACTGCTCTGCACAGTCAAATAAAATCTCCAAACACCATTTGCCTGCAGGAGATGTCCTGTTTTTCTCAGCTTCTGTTTCTCTAGTAACCACTCTCAGGAGATTCTCAAGAAAGGTCAGAACAAAAACCTCATTAGAAGGAAGTTCCTTTCCACTAACTTTCTTTGAGATGGTGATGATTTTATTGTCAGTGTTTGTGTCGTTGTTTAGGTTGGTGTGGAGCACCTGAAAAAGAGCCTTAAGAAACATGTGTCTAAGTTCCATATCCTCACTCTGAAATCTACCCATGAGGCTTTGCAGGACCTCTGCAGCAAACACCAGGGAATCATTGTCCGTGAACCTGGAAAGTTCCAGATTATGAGAAGAACTGAGACTTTGTTGTTCAATGATAAATCCACGTCTAAGCTGAGGGTTCCCTGTTCCCATCCCCTCGATGCCGTACTGAAAGTAATCAGAGATGAAGTCACTGATGGTACCGTACACAATGTCTGCTTCATAGACCTCCCTGTAAGATGCATTTGTTTTCTTCATGTTTGTGTTGAGAGAGATTCCCAGGTGCTTGTAGAAGTCAGACCACTCCTGAGTTCGCTCCTCTGAGGGAACATCAGCGATCAGCACAATGTCCAGTTTGTTTCCCATGCAGACTTGTGTGGCTGCAAACATGGCAGTGACACATGGGTCTTCTTCCACACAAACCAGTTGTAGCTCTCCACTCTTCTGAGTCAGCACCAACGCACACCACCGCAGCATCTGCCTCACTGTGGGCCACCAGCCTTTGGCGTCAAAAACTGCTTTGCAGAGCTGAGACAGAGACTTCTGTAGGTCGTCTGCATTCAAGGGATCACGTGTGAAGGAATCTTTAACAAATGGTGCATCTTTAGGTGCATTTTCTCCTTTCTTTTGTAAAGATATATGTTGGGCCTTTTTGCCTTTATTTGACATGAAGTGAAACAGGAAATGAAGGAGTGAGAGAAGAAAACACACGCAGACATGCAGAATCGTCCTTGTACGTTGGGCAGGCGCTCTACCAACAGAACTAACTGGGCCTCCTTTTGGTGCATTTTCTGCGTACTGCAGGACGCCAGTGGTAATGTTTTTTATCATATCAACCACAGAATCATCCAAATTCCATAACATCTTCACTTCTGCTAGAGCTGCAGGTAGACTGCTCTCATCGTTCCTTCTGAGAGTATTTAGGAAATCCTGATGGAATCTCTCAGGGCCAGCAAAGTCCAGAGCCTGGACGAGAGTGTGTCCGGACTCATCCGTCCACTCTGGTGATATGTCATAAGCTTGCACCAGCTTAAGGACTTCAGTTATTGAAACATCCTCTGCATATTTCTGTGACAGTGCTTTGAGCAGAGTCACTGTCTCCGTTGGGGTCCATTGGTTTCTTTGCACAAGTCTGAGGAGCATCTCAGTGGATTCTGAGTGGGTTTCTTTGCCGGTTAGGTGTGTGAGTGTGGATAAGAGAAGCTTCAAGCACTGGATTTCCATCTTTAAAATGAACACAGAGGCTCTTCCCACTACATTCTGCAGTGATGATGCGAGGGTGCTCAGGAATTCTATAAGACAGAGGTTCTCAGTGGAAAGCTTATCTCCAGCCCACTGTTTGGCTATGAGGACTGCGTCAGTATCAGAGCTGCTACAGTCAGTGAAAAAGTGCATCAGGTTCAGGTACAGGGCTTGAGTCAGCAGGAGACTCTCAAAAGCATTGCGTGCTGATTGGCTGATGGAGTCCACCAGGGACTGCACCTGATTGGAGATGCTTTGTAGGGGAACTCCCTCGGGGATCTCCAGAGACAGGGCACACAGCTCTGTGATGAACACCTGAGTGTGCTGCAGAGTGCTGAGGGACGGGGAGCACTGATCCATTCATCGAACAGAAGTTTGTCCAGGACTGACAGGATCTCCCGCTGCTGGTCTGCTGTCAGCTGAGTGAGACTCAGATCTGGAACAGGGGAACTGCATTTCTTAGAGAGGATTTCTAGAAGCTCATCCCTGCCGGATTCATACTTAGCCTCAAACTCATTCAGATGCCACATCTGAACATCTTGCTTGGACTCATATTCTTCTGAAATGTTGCTGCTCTGTTGTTTCTCATGCTGCTCTTTGGCTCGTTGCTGCGATTCTTGTAGACTTTGATCCAGTTTTTGTCTCTCCTCCTCTCTTCTTCTCTCCTCTTCTCTTCTCCTCTCCTCCTCTCTCTGTCTCTCCTCCTCTCTTCTTCTCTCCTCCTCTTTACTCTTTTCCTCTTGATCCCTGATTGGCTTATTAAAGCAATGTGCACACTCAAACATAAGATTAAAGCCAACTGGTCTGTAGAATTCACCTCCATTGTACACAACTACATGCTGCCCATGAACAGTAGTTATGTAATGATCAACAATGGTCCATTGAGGCATGACTTTACCACACTTGCAGCATATCCAGCTGAATAATGGTAGAAATGGTGGTAATGGTTTGTCTGATTGTGCGTTCCCCATTTTGTTGATTTATTCAGCAGTTAAATGGTGATTTTCATGTGCAACCTGTGTTTTCCTGAAACATTAAAAACACATACACTGTTAGACATTTCTGTAATTTCTACAGTTAACATATCACCCAGTATAATACTGTATATTCTCTTTCCGGTAAATAACTGTAATTCCCATTGCATTATGGGAATTTTAGGTGACGTCAGACACCATATCCGGTGGTTTGTAGCCCCACTACAGTATAAATTAAAGATGAGTAAGAGATATAGCAAATAAAGAAAGAGCTATGATTTATTATAGTAACATCATTGCAGTATTACAATTATTTCCACGCATGCCTTCAGGTGGATAGGTTTTTTCAAATTTTATTTAGGATGCCAGTTTAAAGGTTCAGTGTGTAAGTTTTAGTGACATCTAGTGGTTGGGGTTGCGAATTGCACCCCTTCCCCTATCTAAGAGAATTGTATAGCTACGGTGTCTGAGAAAGGACAAAAGATGTCATCTATGAGATAGCAGAGAGTTGCCAGTCAACAAATTAGGTTTCTTTAGATAGATATATTAAGACAGTTATATTTACTTAATTATTCAGTTAAAACTTGTGGGTTTTATTTGAATATTGTTGTTACATTAATAAACAACTGCCACATCAAGAAATGAAGTGCTACATGATGTCTCATACTCCTGTAATACAGTATTTTACATCTTGGGAGGGTTGGCTCATCTGGACTAACATACCAAAGAAAATGAAGAACATCTCAAACACTATCACATCTAGTGACCACTGACAGATAACAGGACAAATAAGCTCACTGTTTCTGCACCAGAGTCCATTATAAACCACATAATACATGAAGTTTACAAAGGCATTGTCAGGTGAGGATCAAGGCTTCTCTCAATTTGCTTAATTAGATAAGCAATCTGCAACATGTCTTTTTAATTTTTTAAAATACAATAGAAACACAAAGTAGTACTGACAGCCATAATTTCAGCTTGTTGTAAAACAGTGCAATGTTTTTAATGGGCGTTTAACATGTGAAAGTACAAATTACACATTTGTGTGCACAGTGGAAAAGCAATATCCAAAAAACACCTTTTTTTAATGCAAATTCTGAAAGTATTCATTATTGGTCACTTGATAGGCACACGGTCTTGTTATATATCACCATTAGCAGTGAAAAGAAATATATGTTTTCCACCAGTAAAATGTGAAGCTTAGCTGCTGATTTTAGTCACAATCTTAGTTTCATTCGCGGGAGAAGAACTACATGAAATTACAATCTGCTGTCTGATCTGAGCTTTGATGCTGGAAGCTGCCTTCTCAGCTGATTGTCTCACGAACGTAACCGACAAAGCTAACCTACAGGCTGAAGAATAAATAGGCGACATGAAATTAATGCAACTACATGTTGACAGACACCTCACCTCTCTCAGTGATCATGGCCAGATTCAAGCTAAAGCTATCAAACAACAGCTTTCATTTGCATTGCTAAAGTCTGACAAACTTAACTTTATTACCTGTCCTGCATAAAACAGACAGAAAACATCTGTCCCACATTATAGCCTTCCATCTGGAATATCCACAACCCTGATTTCTGCTGTCAGCTGTTTGTATCTGTCCTATGGTCCAGACTAGGTCTGGCTTCATGGTGTTTGATCCACAGGCTGTCGGCTCTCGTGCTAAATAACACGTGTGCTCGTTCACTTGTCCAAATGTCACTTCTTTTCTTACTTCTAATAAACCAGAAGACTACTCAGAGACTATTATTGGGTGTGAATGTTGCAAGCATGCACATCCTATGTTATTGCTAAAATTTATTTTCGTATTATTCTTCCGTCACATTTTTTTGGACCTTAACTAGTCCCACAGCTTTTGACGTAGAAACTCTGTTCAAACTCAAGGTTTTCCAGCTCAATGAGGAATGGGGTGCTATTACTTTTGTAATTGATACCTTGAATACTTTCCAAAATATTCAAGGTTTTCCAGTAAAATTCTCCCATTGTAAGTGAATGGAGAGACTGTCAAAATCCTCCTCATACCTACTCCACTTTGAAAGCTCACCAGTTCAGCATACTTTCAGCTACAGACTTGATTTAAACTGTAAATTGGCCACAAGAAGTTAATCTATTAATCATGTATTCAGCTTTTTGATATGTTTTATGGTTTTTCACGGTCGCTGTCGAAGTTTTATGCTTTTTTTAGCTCTTTTCTGAGTTTATAATGGGTGTGACATCATCACTACAGTGTAGCAGGCTCGCAAAATCTTCTTAGATTTTTCTCTTTAACTCGCTGGCTTGACCACAATTTTAACTCTTCATGCATAATTTTACACCAGAAACGTACTAAAATTTTTTGTGGTTCCTCACATGGGCTTTTTAAATCCCTCGGAGTTATAGATTTGCCTCTGTGTCCTTCCAAAGGACAAGCGTGACAGTCAAGTCCTTCATTGGAAGCCATTATAAATTCAAATTCAGTCAAAATTTCTGGAGCAGAGCAGAACATACCAGTTTTTTAGCTCGCTTCTTTTTACTTTATCCACACAAAAAACACATCACATCGTTCAGAAATGCCTTGTCAGGTCATTTTGCCGATAAAACCTATAGTTTTGTCTCAGTGGAGGTTTGTTTGTCAGAAAGTCTCAGAAGGATTTTCCTATCTGTCTATTGTAGAGCTGGTTACCTTGGTGACGTAAGTTAGCTGATTAAAGATCAAAGGACTGGGTCCTCTGTTCTGATTGGTGGACGGAAGTTAAGCTATTTTCTGAACACCTGTTTGTGTCCTCTTCACTGAACACACACACATTAATACACTGACAGACACAACACACACACAGAGAGCCATCAAAGCATGGAGCTTTAAACTTTACTGAATGGGAGTACACATTTATTATGTACGTGATCTCCACCATCGCGGCCGCCGTCTTGGTTCCAACAGACGGAACTCGGGAGTTTCCCTGGCGACTTGCGGTGTTATGAAAATAATTGATCCTGTTGGCTTCTTTTTTGTGGAACTTCCGGGTTCTGATGGATTACACCACCAGAAAAACCATAGATAACCTCCTTGTTTCAAGTCTCCGTCTATCCCGTTGAAATACTGGTATTTTGAGCAAACCAAAGTTTGTCGGTCGTCTCGTTTTTTGCTGAAAGTGAGTAAAAACATTCTTTAAACTGTAATAGACATTTAGTTTAGTTGCTAAACTACAAGTGAACGAATTTTCAATGAATTTGAACGGAGTTTTATTGCCCGCAAAATCTGCTTCCATTGGCTAACAACGTAAAAGCACTGCAGGGTCACACCTTTTGCTTTGACTTCAGTGGAAAACTAATAGAGACAAAATAAAGTGACCACTTTTGGCTGTCAAATGACCAGTGTGTTTTGCGATTATTGAACCAATAAACATGGTCTTGGTATCATTTTAAAGGATATTTCAAGCTGTTTCTATCTGTACAATTTGTTTTAGCATTTAACCATGATGAAAATTTAGTTCACTGTGTCGCAGCAGGCGCACACACACACACACACATATTAAAGGAGACTTATTAGGCTTCTTATATTTTCTGTCTTATCTATAAGCTTTCAGTGTCAGATGTTCATGTGAAACATGGCCAAAGCTCTACTCTTGGCTCTTAATGATGTGATACAGAGCTGGTTTTCCATATATTTGCCTGCAGCCTCAATAACAACTGGCAACTCCTATGCTTAGTTTGTCTCTACCGCTGAGCGGCATAATCATCCTGCTTCAGGATCTTGGCCAATCAGAACACAGTGGGTTTTTGTAGGGGGGGGGGGGCTTAAAGAGACAGGAGCATCTACTGCTGCTTGTTTAAGACAGAAGCTGAAATGAGAGCTTGCAATGAAGTTTAGCAATGAAGTTTAGCAATGAAGTTTAGCGTCAGCCTTCAACAGCCAGCATTCACACCGCAATTTCTCTAGAAATTATTATTTTATTACTAGTTATATTATTTTTCCCTCTTCTTCTTCTACGGACGCATTTATTGTAGTGACAGGCATCAACACTGCCAGAATTACACAAGGAGAAGAAGAACACCGTGGTGATGACGAAACGCACTCTGTAGCGCTGTTTGTCCTTGTCGGCTATGGTAGAAACATGACAACAAAATACAGCAACCTCCATAGAAGGCGGCGCCCGCAGTTATGGAGACATAAATACTCATTCTAAGTTAATAAAAACGGTTCACACCACTGAAAACTTAGTTATGGATCTTATATTGCATTTCTGTCAGTAGATCCTCAGAAATATTACACACTGAACCTTTAAAGAATGGAGAAGTTGTTTACAAATGTCCGCCAGTATGTTTTTTTAAATCTCTTAAAACTGGAAAAATACCAGATGACTGAAAACATGGCAGTGTATTACCAGTTTATTAGAAAGGAGCCTGTACTGGCCCGGGTAATGACATCCCTGTCTGATCAACTTACCATCATGCCTTACAAACCACTTGGACTTTTTTGAGGAAGCTACAATGAGTGAAGTTCGTTGACTGGTAGAAAGTAACAGAACAGGGTCCTGTATGAAGGGCTTAGTGTTGGATCAATCTTTTACTTATCTACATAAGTGATCTTCTTATGGAGGTTAGTGGCAAAATACCAAACGCTGCAGACGATGGAAAAACAAAGAGGCTAGCTAATGCTAGCTCTGCATGTCTCACAGGTGTCTTTTTATCTTATCTGTTCAAACCACTCCTCCATGGTAAGGCTTCCCAAGAGGTCGAAGTTTACTTTTGGAGTGTCCATTACTATTAGTTTCCAGCTAGGCAGTGATTTAACATTACTTCACTTGCTACCCTTTTTATAACATTTGATTTTAACCATGCAACAGCCTCAGAAAGGCTAAATAACATCAATTTAAGGGCTTGTGTCTGGCAGGGTGCTGGGAAGAAGCGCTGGTGTGTTGAGAGAGAAAAACATCTTAAACCCATTTACTTTCACTTGTTTTAAATACTGAGTGAACAGGATCTTCTGAAACCAACTTGTTTAGATGTAAGATTTCTTTCAAAATAAACTTTTGATCAAATATGTGGACTTTCAAATTTTATATTAATTGATACCTCTTGTTCGTTAGTGTTCCTCGCAGTTGTAACAGCTGTCATTATGGTCGTTGGAGACACCCGAGGCCAAGTCTGATCAGCCGTCGTTAGTCACAGGAGGCCAAATGTGAGCATTTGTTTCCTGGGAAGGGATGAAAGGACAGCACTGTCAAGTGGGGGATCAGTGGTGTCACAAACCTTGTACCCTATTAAGTGATGGTTTCTCCATTCATGTGTAAAAGGTCACTTTTAAACTAGCTTTTTCAGTCCTGATATAAAACAGATGCCTGGGCTTTGGGTTTTGGCTGATGCCAAGAAGGCTACTGATCAGATACCAGGCTAAAATTTGTAATGTCTTCCTCACAGTGAGGAAGAGGAGACACAGCAATTACTGACTAGTCCAACTGTATGCACAGAAACGTCTGTCTAGCAGTCTTATTTTACAAACCTCTCGTCAATGTCTTGGTCGCCGCTTTTTCTCAACTTAGCTTCCTTTGTCAGAGCTCTGTCTATTTGCCTCTGCTATTAGCTAAAATTACATTCATAGAGGCTGCTGAGCCCAGATACACTCACCTAAAGGATTATTAGGAACACCTGTTCAATTTCTCATTAATGCAATTATCTAATCAACCAATCACATGGCAGTTGCTTCAATGCATTTAGGGTTTGTGGTCCTGGTCAAGACAATCTCCTGAACTCCAAACTGAATGTCAAAATGGAAAGAAAGGTGATTTAAGCAATTTTGAGCGTGGCACGGTTGTTGGTGCCAGACGGGCCGGCCGAGTATTTCACAATCTGCTCAGTTACTGGGATTTTCACGCACAACCATTTCTAGGGTTTACAAAGAACGGTGTGAAAAGGGAAGAACATCCAGTATGCGGCAGTCCTGTGGGCGAAAATGCCTTGTTGATGCAAGAGGTCACAGGAGAATGGGCCGACTGATTCAAGCTGATAGAAGAGCAACTTTGACTGAAATAAGCACTCGTTACAACCGAGGTATGCAGCAAAGCATTTGTGAAGCCACAACACGCACAACCTTGAGGCGGATGGGCTACAACAGCAGAAGACCCCACCGGGTACCACTCATCTCCACTACAAATAGGAAAAAGAGGCTACAATTGGCAAGAGCTCACCAAAATTGGACAGTTGAAGACTGGAAAAATGTTGCCTGGTCTGATGAGTCTCGATTTCTGTTGAGACATTCAGATGGTAGAGTCAGAATTTGGCGTAAACAGAATGAGAACATGGATCCATCATGCCTTGTTACCACTGTGCAGGCTGGTGGTGGTGGTGTAATGGTGTGGGGGATGTTTTCTTGGCACACTTTAGGCCCCTTAGTGCAAATTGGGCCTGGTTTAAATGCCACGGCCTACCTGAGCATTGTTTGACCATGTCCATCCCTTTATGGCCACCATGTACCCATCCTCTGATGGCTACTTCCAGCAGGATAATGCACCATGTCACAAAGCTCCAATCATTTCAAATGGTTTCTTGAACATGACAATGAGTTCACTGTACTAAAATGTTGCTTGCTTGCCTAGCTCTGACTTGGGTGGCAAGCTAGCCAACAAACGCTAAACAGCAACTGACACAAGAGCACTTACAGTAATATTATGTCCCAGTGTGATTTCTAGTTTGCAAAAATCAACTTGGGATTTAGCGCTAGCAAACCTCTGTCTGATTTCGACAACTTTAATAACACAGCCAAACATCAAGCAAGCACACCACACAGACAAAAGACACAAGAACCCAGCTAATAAGTTCAGCTCTTTTAGCTTACATCATCCAGTAAAAGCCAGCCATATTTGCTCTTGTCCAGGTATATACGTTTCTCTTCTTCTTTCTAAAGCTTGCTTTGAGAAGAGTCCAAAAATACTATGTTTGCTCTGCTAGCAAAATGTTTGGGTCTACCTGCACACTGCTGAAGCTGGCGCTCTACGTGTGTAATTGAAGGGATTAAATCGGCCCCAGATTGGGCCCCTTGTCACCGATACCCAATCCAGCTATTTGAGTCCAGACGATATCTAATATCAGTATCAGAATGGTACATCCCTAATTCAAAACATCCCTCCTCCTCCCCCTCCACGTTAGATGTAAGTAAACTGCTGAGTCTTGACCTGAAGCGTTGGCCCTTCTGTGCATCTGTGATGTGGATGTTTAGTTTCCCCAATATACAGGTTTGCGCATTCCTCATTCCACTGGACAGCACATACTAGATTGCTTTTGGATTAATTGTTTCTGGATTAATATTCCTGCTGCATTATTGAGTATGGTGTATCTTACTGCGGCAGATGTTTGAGGTTGACCTCACTTTAACTCGTTTACATCCTGTTGGGTGGTTTCATCTACAGCAGTGCATTATATTGTTTTTAGCATTGCAGTCCTGTGAGAACCATGTGTCTCTAAAAAGTCGGAAAACAGTTCGTTTCCAGTTTTGTTACGATGCATTTTTTTTTAGCTGATCTAAAGGGGGGTTAAAATTGTTTATTCAGCTGAAGGAAGATCAACACTTCATCCTGCAGTTTATTATAATCTGGAGACACAAGGTTCTCCCTGGATGGGAAGGGGACGAAAACCTATAACCTGAAAAGTAACTAAAGACAAAGGTCAGACAAATGTTGTGAAGCAAAAAGTACAATAATTAACTCTAAGTTGTAGTGCAGTAGAAGGAGAAAGCAGCAGAAAATGGAAATTCTCACTGTAATATATTTGATGGTATTAACTACAGCCCGACAGATTTATCGTTTTGCAGATATTATCGGCCGATATAAGCCACTTGCATCTGCATTTCTAACAGCCGATATGACTATTAAAAAACAGAGTCTGATCCTTCCCTCAGGGTATGAGTGTTGCATAGTTTGCCCACCAGAGGGCACTCTGCTCCTCTGTTTAACACTGCAGCACCACAGAACAAAATCAGCTGACCGTGGTCAGCTCAGAGCTGGTTCTGCCAGAGTTATGGTAAGGTAGAATGCAGGAATAAAGGTCTGTAAAGACCCAGAGGTCCCGACAAAGGCTTTGTCTGGAGGGCTGACCAGGGACAAACTCCTGGGCCACTTTTTTTGCCTGTCTGTGGAAAACAAACCTGTGCCAGGAAGTGTGCATGTGTCTCTGCTACGTGTCCATCAACAATTGAAATTGAATTGATTGTATTTTAAGAGGAAGAGGACAGAGGTCACAAGAGGAGTAGAACAAACTGAGGAGGACGAGCTTGTAAGTTGTATGGATAGCTAGTAATAGTAAATTCTAAAACTCACGTAGTAAAAAGACTTTGTTATTCCAATGGCATGTCATCAGAGTTTGCATTGAAGACAGTTCTGTGTTCAAACATTTGTTGCAGGGAGAGTCAGGGCCCAGTGAGACACAGGAAACATCAGACAGCTACTTCAAGTATAACAACAGTTAGCTAAATACATTTGTACTGCGGCTACATTAACTAGCAGCTGTTCCATAGTTTTTATGGTATGTAGTCGGTTTTGTTCTAGTTGTATTAAACTCCCTCTCTGACCCTTCCCTTGGTTTATGAAAAGCGCTCTGAGATAACTGTTGTTGTGATTTGGGGCAATATAAATAAAACTGAATTGAATTAAATAGTTTCAAAAACAGAGATCAATTTAGTTACTTACTGTGTGGTCAGTTAAAAAAAAAAAAATTACTGGTTGGAACAAAACAAAACTGAAAAATGAGGAGAGTTTTCAAATGAAATCACAGTAACGTCATACTGAAACTGAATTAAACCTTTTAAACATACTAAGACTGAATCAAAGAAGAACAGTCTTCCGAGAGAGTAGACTAAAGTACATGGTTATAGTTCCTGCTACGAGCCTTGTGGGGCAGCTCAGCTTTGTCCGCCGGCTCTACTGCAGTCGACTGGCTGCTGTTTCACCGCTGTCTTCTTTAGAGGAGCCAGTCTCAGACTCGGCTACCTCCTGCATTAGGAACTTCTATCGGTGCTCCATCCACTTCCTGGTCCACAGTGCCGGAGAAAGCGAGGAGGCTATCTATGCCTCTTTTTCCAGAAACACTATATTACTATATTAGAAATAGTAAAATGTGAGTGGTCTTACCGAAGCATTGTTGAAGAAGCTTTGAGTATCAATTGAAGAAGTCAAAATACAAAGGTTCTCTAATAGATCCAAACTATTTGGATTTGAAGAAATCAGCAATGCAAAAACACCAAAAAGGAAAATGAGAGCTTCCAGTGTTACGTCTGCTTTTATACAGTGGAGCTGAAGAGAGTTTCAAAATGACATCACAGTAGGTGGTGTCCAGTGACCTAGTCATACTGAAACTGAAACTGAAACTGAATATTTATTGGTTATACAAAACAAATGTGGTTATTTTGTTATATTTATACTCAGAAAGAATACTAAAGCTTATTTCTTATTAGGAAATGAAACTTTTAATAAAACAAAAAATATCAGATTCCTCAGAAGCAGGGTGAAAAGTAGGTCATTCAGGAACAGCTGTCTGCTGCTCTCATGTGTGAAACCAGAGCCGTTTCTTCAGACTTTGACTCCAGGGACCGTTCAGTTTCTCTGCTAAATGTCACATTTAGTCAAATCATGGAACAACAACTTTTCTATTTGGACCCAAACACAGGACACGAAGGCAGAACAAGTACAGTTCTATGGTTTTTAATAAAGAGTGTACAGACTTACAGGATGGTGAGTCAGGCAAGATGAAACAACCCAATTACAAGTCCAGTATCAGCAAATAAATCCAGAAAGGCACAGGCAACAATCCAAAGTCAAGAAGTTCAAAATCAGGCAAAATATTGGAAAGTAAAATGATGCCAAATTGATTGAAAATGGACAGACTAAAAGTCACAAATAGATATTACAACTTGTAAACACAAAACGCAATCTACAAATAGATTAAAAATCCACTAAGTCCTCAAGATCTACAAATAGATTAAATATATACAAATACACACATCATGATTCATACTCAGTGACTTGTACTTGACAACCAGAATTTGAATGAATGCAAAGTGTTGAGTGTCATTATATGTTTGTAGATTGTGTTGCATTTGTTTTCAGATTTTCTGTTTCGCTGTTTTTCCGATTAAAAATTCTACAAATGCCCTCTTCACAATTTACAAACAAACACAGTCTAAATTGTACAGGTGAAACTCCAAAAATTAGCATATCGTGCAAAAGTTCATTTATTTCAGTAATTCAACTTAAAAGGTGAAACTAATATATTATATAGACTCATTACATGCAAAGTGAGATATTTGATATAATTTCGATGATTATTGCGTACAGCTTATGAAAACCCCAAATTCAAAATCTCAGAAAATTAGAATATTACATGAAATAAATTTTTTTTAAAAAGGATTTTAAATACAGAAATGTCAGCCCTCTGAAAAGTATAATCATGCATATGTACTCAGTACTTGGTTTGGGCATGAATTACTGCCTCAATGTGGCGTGGCATGGATGCTATCAGCCTGTGGCACTGCTGAGGTGTTATGGAAGACCAGGATGCTTCAACAGCGGCCTTCAGCTCTTCTGCATTGTTCGCTCTCATGTCTTTCATCTTTCTCTTGGCGATGTCCCATAGATTCTCTCTGGGGTTCAGGTCAGGCCAGTTTGCTGGCCAGTCAAGCACAGTAACCCCATAGTCATTGAACCAGGTTTTGGTACTTTTGGCAGTGTGGGCAGGTGCCAAGTCCTGCTGGAAAATGAAATCAGCATCTCCATAAAGCTCGTCTGCTGAAGGAAGCATAAAGTGCTCTAAAATGTCCTGGTAGACGGCTGCGCTGACTCTGGACTTAATAAAGCACAGTGGACCAACACCAGCAGAGGACATGGCTCCCCAAACCAACACAGACTGTGGAAACTTCACACTGGACTTAAAGCATCTTGGTTTGTGTGCCTCTCCGTTCTTCCTCCAGACTCTGGGACCTTGGTTTCCAAATGAGAATCAGAAAAGAGGACTTTGGACCAATGAGAAACAGACCAGTTCTTTTTTTCTTCTGACGCTGTTTGTTGTTCAGGAGCTGCTTGACAAGAGGAATCCGACATTTGAAGCTCATGTCCAGGACCCGTCTGTGTGTGGTGGCTCTTGATGCCTCAGTCCGCTCCTTGTGAAGCTCCCACACACATTTGAATGGCCTTTTCCTGACAATCCTCTCCAGGCTACGGTCATCTCTGCTGCTTGTGCACCTTTTTCTTCCACTTAACTTTCTATTAATGTGCCTTGATACGGCACTTTGAGAACATCCAACTTCTGTTGCAATTATATCAAATATCTCACCTTGCATGTAATGAGTCTATATAATATATTAGTTTCATCTTTTAAGTTGAATTACTGAAATAAATGAACTTTTGCACGATATGCTAATTTTCACCTGTATTTTCAAACCACACAGAGTGTGTGACTACGATCCACACGTGTAGTCAGCCAATCAGGGGTATTGCTTCAATGTGATGTCACGTCCCCTCAATAAGCCCTTTTCTAAATAAGAGCTGACACTTCTTGGATTGGTGAGCTCACTGCCAGTTGCCGTTGCCGGTGTCACAGCGCCGGCAGGCAGGCAGACCCTCTGCAGACAGAGCCTGGGCAGCGCTGGGGAAGGACGGACCGACGCTGGGATGTCAGGTCAGCGGTCGCTCGAGAGAGAGAGAGAGAGAGAGGGTTTATTAGTTTTTTAAGGTGTTTAAGGTCTAATTTTTGAACAGATTACACTTGGAGATGAAATCGTTTACAATAACATGTTGGAACATTCGAGGTCTGAGATCATCAGCTTTTGGTTTAAAGAGCATAAATCCAGATTTTAATAGGCGGGCTACGAGGGGACTCTGTGGGTCCGTACAGAGTCGACGGCGGGCTACGAGGGGACTCTGTGGGTCCGTACAGAGTCGACGGCGGGCTACGAGGGGACTCTGTGGGTCCGTACAGAGTCGACGGCGGGCTACGAGGGGACTGTCTGGGTCCGTACAGAGTCGACGGCGGGCTACGAGGGGACTGTCTGGGTCCGTACAGGGTCGACGGCGGGCTACGAGGGGACTCTGTGGGTCCGTACAGGGTCGACGGCGGGCTACGAGGGGACTCTGTGGGTCCGTACAGGGTCGACGGCGGGCTACGAGGGGACTCTCTGGGTCCGTACAGAGTCGACGGCGGGCTACGAGGGGACTCTCTGGGTCCGTACAGGGTCGACGGCGGGCTACGAGGGGACTCTGTGGGTCCGTACAGGGTCGACGGCGGGCTACGAGGGGACTCTCTGGGTCCGTACAGAGTCGACGGCGGGCTACGAGGGGACTCTGTGGGTCCGTACAGGGTCGACGGCGGGCTACGAGGGGACTCTGTGGGTCCGTACAGAGTCGACGGCGGGCTACGAGGGGACTCTCTGGGTCCGTACAGAGTCGACGGCGGGCTACGAGGGGACTCTCTGGGTCCGTACAGAGTCGACGGCGGGCTACGAGGGGACTCTGTGGGTCCGTACAGAGTCGACGGCGGGCTACGAGGGGACTCTGTGGGTCCGTACAGGGTCGACGGCGGGCTACGAGGGGACTCTCTGGGTCCGTACAGAGTCGACGGCGGGCTACGAGGGGACTCTGTGGGTCCGTACAGGGTCGACGGCGGGCTACGAGGGGACTGTCTGGGTCCGTACAGAGTCGACGGCGGGCTACGAGGGGACTCTGTGGGTCCGTACAGAGTCGACGGCGGGCTACGAGGGGACTCTCTGGGTCCGTACAGGGTCGACGGCGGGCTACGAGGGGACTCTGTGGGTCCGTACAGAGTCGACGGCGGGCTACGAGGGGACTCTGTGGGTCCGTACAGGGTCGACGGCGGGCTACGAGGGGTCTCTGTGGGTCCGTACAGGGTCGACGCCGGGCTACGAGGGGACTCTCTGGGTCCGTACAGAGTCGACGGCGGGCTACGAGGGGACTCTGTGGGTCCGTACAGGGTCGACGCCGGGCTACGAGGGGACTCTCTGGGTCCGTACAGAGTCGACGGCGGGCTACGAGGGGACTCTGTGGGTCCGTACAGAGTCGACGGCGGGCTACGAGGGGACTCTCTGGGTCCGTACAGGGTCGACGGCGGGCTACGAGGGGACTCTGTGGGTCCGTACAGAGTCGACGGCGGGCTACGAGGGGACTCTGTGGGTCCGTACAGGGTCGACGGCGGGCTACGAGGGGACTCTGTGGGTCCGTACAGGGTCGACGGCGGGCTACGAGGGGACTCTGTGGGTCCGTACAGGGTCGACGGCGGGCTACGAGGGGACTCTGTGGGTCCGTACAGAGTCGACGGCGGGCTACGAGGGGACTCTGTGGGTCCGTACAGGGTCGACGGCGGGCTACGAGGGGACTCTGTGGGTCCGTACAGAGTCGACGGCGGGCTACGAGGGGACTCTGTGGGTCCGTACAGGGTCGACGGCGGGCTACGAGGGGACTCTCTGCCTCAGTTCTTGTCTTCATATAGCCTACCCATGTTTACTTTTATTTCTGTACGCTCTATTGCATTTCTGCTCTCCTTTCTCTCCAAACATGTCTTAAGCTGGTTCAATACTTTTAGACTGAAGCTTCCATTTTGCAGGAAACCCATTTCAACCCACTTATCAACTTGTCCCATTAATGTAATTTCATAGCTGGTGAAGATAATCTGGGAGTGGATTCAGACTCAGTCCTCACTTTACTCTGAATCCATAGTCCAGTCTCTCTAGTCAGTCTGTACTCGGGTCCATAGCAATATAACAAGCGCTGCAAACCTAACTTATCAGCTGGAAACCCCAAAAACCCTCAGACACCACAGAGAAAACCAGGACACGTCTGTCCGCGGCCACTTTGATCCAGATCTCTCCACCTACTTGCGCGTTTACAGGTGACTAGAGGATCCTGCAGATCACTCAGGCCGAGATATAAAACACTTCCTTCCCTCTGTCTCACTCTCTCTTCATCTTTTCTCTCAATTATCTACTCATTTCTCAGCGTGTAAGTTCTTTTCCTTTTCTTCTGGAACAGATTGAAGATCAGGGCTCCGCAGAACACAGGTTCTCCCTACAGGGAGGATTTTCCAAAAATAAGCCGGCTTCTGTCCTTCAACAGAGTGCTGCTGTTCCTCCATCTTCTGCTCTCTCCTTCATGCTTTTCCTCTCTCTGGATGCTGCTGTGCTCTGACAGGAAATCCCTGGCGTTTAGTGACTGAACGAGCTGCTTTGATTTCTTCTAATGTGTCGTTTATCTCACGTCTTCCTCCCTTACTGTAACGTGCAGAAGCAGTTCGGCTTGTATCTGCTGGAAGCTGCACTTAATGATTCTGTCTGTTCTGGCTCTGTTGTTACTGAGGGCCTCTCGGGTGTTGGACCCTTATGGCCCCTGAAAAGTTAACAACCACCTAAACAACAGCTTCTGTGCTGAGTCGAAATGTTTAAGCTTCTGAGATTCTAAGATAAAATAATTTAGCATTAAAAATAGTTTCTTTTAATGACTCTTTCATGTGAAAGCAGAATCCAGCTGCTGAAGCTAAACGGACCGTTTAGAGTAGTAGAGTCTGGCGTGGAGGATTTAGATCACGTACCAGGAAACGTTCTGTTAAAAACATGATTCAAATCATTCAAAGGAAAGCGGAGCAGCGATTCTTCACATTTGAGAACCAGAAAATGTTTTTAGATGAACGATCAAAAAAGGGGCCTATTCATTTTCTGTTAATCGACTAATACTTTCAGCTGTACTTGTATAAACTGTTGGGTTTTTTATTTTAGAAGCTCTGCCTGTGTTCTGTGTGTAAAACTCTTCATGTGTAACTGAAGCTGTCAGATAAATGTAGTGAAGTAAAAGTACAAGGTTTCCCTCTGAGAAACAGAGACTCCAGTGAAGTACGAGTACCTGAGTGCTGTACTTGAGTACAGCGGTGGAGTAAATGTACTTGTTGATGGAGGAACAGACTGACAGAAAGCAGCAGAGGAGCTTCAGCAGATGATAGTTTTCACTTTAAAGTCGCTGGAGGAGCAAACTGTGTGCAGAGAGTCTGGAAAACACAAACTGACTGGGTTAGCAAGAAAATAAATCAGTCTGTTGGGATAATTAGGAGGATTAATAATCTTGTGTCTTCTTACACTCTATTACAGTTTCATTTCTCCACATCTTTCATATTGGAATATAGTTTTCCTGCTACGCTCCGCAGAACTTTGGTCCTACAGAAACGCTTTGTTAGGACTGCAACCCGATCTGAGTCCCATTCTTCATCCGTCCCTCTATTTCAGAGACCTCGCTGTTCATGAGATTAATATCACTCAAACATGTGTTTTATTTATATGGAATATTCAAGATTTATTTTAACACCCAGGTTCACTCTGATTCAACGCGTCAATCATTAGATCTTCATCCTCCAAAGTTTCTTACGTGCAGATTTATTCTCAGATTTAGGGGCACCAGATTCTGGGATTCAGCCTGGCATTAAACTCCTCCTCATTAAAATGTTACTAAAGATATTTAAAAGCCTGTTTAACTGCTGTTTTATGATTCTAATACAGAAACAAACTTGCTTTTATACTGTTCATATTTTTGTTCTTATATTTCTATTATTGTTACTGTCATTAAAATGAACTTGTTGATGTTATAGATGTTTCTATATTATTATGTTGTCATTACTTTATGGAGTTATATTTTTCTCTCTATGTTATTATTTACTTTGATTTTAACTATAGGTGGAGGCGTTAAATCAGCCCGTTTGGGTTTCCTGCCTCTTCCTGCAGGTTATATCATTTGTTATTTTCTTTGTCATTTCTATGTAATTTTACGTGTGCAAATAAATAAATGTAATCCTGTCAGCTTCAACAGAAGCAGCCAGTCCTCCTATAATGGAAGATCAGCAGCCCAGTAAGTTGGTTCTTGTTTTATTAAAGGCAGTCAGTCCCCAGAGCTGCAGCCCTGCAGACACACAGCTGGAAACTACAGACGGTCTGAAGCTGAACCCCTTCATGACTCCATCTGCTGATGAAAGGTTGGAGGCAGGGCGGGAAATTAACACCTGCCAAGCGCCAAATACGGGTAGATTTTCCATTTGGCGTCTAAATGTTTTGGCGGGTAAACGTATTCGGTATGATATCGCCCTGAAAATGTCTTTTTGACTGTAGCTATCAGCGGATCAGCATTATGTTTTGTTGTGTGTCGCACTTAAATTGGTCCCCGCTGTACTGAGGGATCTAAAATCGTCATCAAATCATTTGCCCCTAAAATAGATACGTGTGAACCACAAAAAGGATTTATGATGTGCGAGTAAAACTGCAACCTACAGTCATTTTGTGCAGGAATGGTTAGGATTTTTTTTAATTTAGCATAAATAAATTAGAGACCAAATGTTGACTGTTTTTATTTTGCGGCTTAGAATTATTATTAGGCGGGGGAGGGGGGCTAAAGCCAAGTCAAGTCATAATTTTATAAAACAACTTACTGTTATGTCTTAAGTACACTGAGCAAAAGCAATAAATAAATAAGTAAGTTTTTTAACCAAGGCATGAAACAGAGGCATCAGGTAAAAGCCCCAAAGAGTTTCAGAAATGCATTTAATAACTTACTTACATAGCCTAGTATTAATAAACTGAAGACATTTTGTCTTTAGGCTACTTGCAAACATGATTTTTTTTCCCACACATTGTTGAATATCTTTAACTAAATTATATCTCTTTGAGTTACTGTACACCAACATTATATATGCTGTTAAATGTTAATATAATATTTAAAATGCCTATTAATGTGTTGTTAAATGTTGTAAAAAAGTATTTCTCATGTGTTTGTTTTATTTTAACTTTAAATAATATAGTGTCCCATAAAGTGTCCCACTCAACCTGATTGCTTCCAGTTTGCCGAAGATGGTGACAGATGATGTATAAAGATAAACAATTTGATAATAAATCAATAAATTGGCTTAACTTCACCATAGATGTCTTCACAACAACCTATTTTAAAATACACACGATTTTAATACATTCTAACTGATTTAGGCTGTTTAAAAGGCAATTTACCAAAAAGTTTACTTCACCCTATTGGACAAAATACCTTAAAATGACTGAAACTAACTAGTTTTTATGTTTTTTCAGTTCCACTCCTGGCCGCAGGCGTCGCTCTGCAGTTACACCGACAGACGCTGCTCGGCGGTGGCGCTGCGGCGTTTCCGGCCCCGCGCGGGCTAACTTCCGGTTTAGCCCTCCAGCTAACGCGAATGGCGGAAAGACGGTGAGCGCGCGGCTGCTCGCGGATCACAGCGCGCGGGCGACACGAGGCGTTTCGTCAGCTGGGACAGAAGAAGCGGCCTGCCGGGAAACCAAGGAGCCGCAGTTTCAGAGGGACCTTGGACCCGGATCTCAGCCTGAAGAGCAGTCCGGGAGGAGACCGGGATGGACCGGCGGAACCGGGAGCCCCGGAGCGGGGTCCCCGGGAGCCCAGCGGCAGGCGCGAGCTCCGACAGCCCCGGTGTTCAGGTCAGTGTTCAGGACTTGTTACCGGGTCCGCCTGCTCCTGAGGGCAGCACGTGCCCCCTTGTTCCGTTTCCTACAGGTTCACTAGACCTGTTCCCGTCAGGGGTCGCTGCTGCTGCTGGATCCGGCCCTGGTTCAAAAACTACACGAGCACCAATCATCTGTGCGGAGAAGGAGCGCAGGCGCAGTAGGAGGATGTTTATAATAAACACAGAGCCCATGAACGTCTGAGGACGGTCTGATGTGTCGGGATTTACCGGCTTCCCTTCCTCGTCACGGTAATATTGTAAATATGGTGATATGTCAGAAAGGGCTTTGACTGGACCGTAAGCGCACGTACCTGAGCCGGTCCTGACCTCACTGGGACCTAAAAGGTTCTGCTTTGGGGCCCTCATACCTGACTCGTGAGCCATGTAAACACTTTTCCATCGCTGCTCAGTCACAGCCGACGCTGCGGAACTCAGTCTGTCTCAGTAAGAAGTCTGGATGGAAAATGGTTTGAATGAACCTCTGCACACTAACGCAGTCCTCTTTAAGGACCGGGGCCAATCTGCTGCTCCGTTAGGGTCTGAGCTGCTGGCTCTACGTCTACGCTTTGTGCTTAAAAGTGGTGGTGAAATTTTCTCAGATTAGGAGTGCATTGTGGAGACTAATGTCTGTTTGGTTTATATATATATGAATGAGACAAACAACATTCAGGACAAAATATAATAATCAGCAACTTGCTTTTTTTAGCTTAAGTTACTTTCGCAGTACTTTCATAAAGTGGTGGGGACATCGTGTCTCCAGCTTCTGTACTACTGGCCGAGGCTCCCTGTATCTCACCTGGTCTGTGGGACCTGCTAAAGAGGTCTGCGCTGGTACTGGCTGATGATCCAGCATCTACTGACAAACTTCTGCATAGCACCTGTAAATTATAGATAACAATACTTGCTAGATATTAATGTTCTCAGCTCCATCAGGGCCACTCTTTTATTTCAAAATGGAAAATACTACATGACTGAATAGTTTGTTTATTATTTACTGAGAGATGTGCGTCCAGTCTGCCCGGCTAATCAACATTTTAATAATCATTAGTCAATGTGAATCCACTGCTTTCCATCTTGCATTAGTACAGAGTTGTACAGATAATCGCTGTGTTGTTTTAAAAGCACGGCGTCGCTGTGAGGAGTAGCCTACCGTGACACCGGTGTCTCGTCTGGACTGGTCCCACTTATGTTGCTGCTCGAATGCCCGAGTTTAATTTCATGCACGCGCGTTTCTAAACACCGTGTCCGGTCGGCAGTTATCACACGTAATAAAAAGTTGTAATTCACTGTAACGTCGTTCAGACACACTTCCCAGCTGGGTTAGCAGGACGCACGGGCTGCAGCTAACATTACTGTGATCCGCTGACATCAGGCTTTGAGTGGAGAGAACACAAGTTTACCTGACTGCTGTTCCCGACGTTCTTGTTGTGCCCAGAAGGACAGTCCCTCCTCGTCATCCTCTCGTCCTCGTTACAGGCACTCGCTCTCACCTTTACCTCCTTTTTAGCGACGTTTCAAAACGGTAACGGTCACTTTAACCTGCAGTCTTATTTTGAAAGCGTAACCGGACGTTGCATCTTTATTATTGCTAATTTAATAATCCGGATTGACGGAAAATTATGTTATTATTGTTAATAACACCTGCAACATTATTATGTTATTACTGTTGTTGCTAAGTTGACTGCGGAGCCCTACGTGGTCAAAAACGACGCCAAGGTGTCTTGACCCTGTTACTGGGGCACAGAGCATGAATACTGGGGTGCGTGTCCCAGTAAAAAGTGTCTAGCGACGCCTGTGGGGGGAAATCTAACTGCGATTTTTCTGCCCAATATTGTGATTACGATTCGATCTGCAATTGTTTTTTACATTTTTTTAATTGAAGTTTAGCTGAAGTTCAATATTCACTCTGTAAGAGATAAAACGTGTGATGGAGCATTACAACATGAGACGCCGTCAAAACCACTTTACATTCTACTTTAAGGACGAGAAGCGAGAGATGAAGTGTTTTTCTTTTAGTAAGCGAGCTACATTGAAACAAACACTTTTTTACAAAGACTAAAGTTCTAATAATAAACATAGATGTATAAAAATGCCAATCTGTGTCATTAAAAATACAATCACTCCCATGTCATGTTGCATCTTATGTTCACCTGACTGCAGATGTATAAGCGTTACCTTTCGTGCCAGCTGTTCGTTTCATGTCTGGGACTGATGGACTTCATCTTGAACCTTAAATCGAGGAATGAAGTGATCTGTAGAAGCTCCGGTGTAGCTGGGTCACTGGATCTTTCTTCCAGGAAGTGCTCTTGACTTTCTGACCTTTGGAAGGTCTGTGTCCTCTTCATTTCCAGACAGAGTTGAGCTTCTAAAGAGATGCAGGACTGGCTTCAGGTATGAAACGCTTACATACGAGAGAAAGATCATCTGTGATCTCCTGGAGATTCAAGGACACGTGTCCTGCCAAGTGGGTAGCAGGTGACGCGTCTTCGCGAGGCCTCGCTCTGCTCCAGCACCTCAATCATCTTCTGCCTTGGTCCCCATCTCGATGGACGCTCTGTAATCTGAGTGCTCCGGCAGTGGCTTCCTTCCCGGAGTCCTGCCACAGATTCCCTGCTTGGTTAATGTTTTACGATGTTGGCCTGTTCCAATGATGCCTTCAAATCGTTGGCTGTCATTTGAGGTTGTTTCTTTACCTCATTGTTGAGTCTTCGTTGTGCTCTTGGTGTCATTTTGACTGGGCGCCCATTTCTTGGTAGAGAAATAGCAACAGTCCCAAAGTGGCTCCATTTGTTGAATGTTTGCCAAAATGTAGACTTTGAAATCACTTTGTAACCTTTGCCAGCTTTATGTAAATCAACAATTCTTGATCGTTGATCCTTTTGGAAGCTCTTTTTGGCGAGGCGTGGCTCACATGAGCGTGTGCTTCTTGTACAGAGCAAACTCCAAAAGTTAGAGGGGATTTTATCAGTCAAAGTAGCTGGAGGCACACCTCCAAACTCATTTTCTTAACGAGACTCCAGGAGTGCTAAAACCTCCAATTAGAGTTCATTAACTCAAAGGTTCACATACTTTTTCCACAAGCATTATGAGGTTTTCACTTTGAAAGTTCTTTTAAATTATTTTAGACACATTATATTTGTCAATAACTTTAACTTAGATGATGATCAGATCACCTTTTATGACAAATTTGTTCAGAAAACTATGAAATTCCAGAAGGTCCACATGCTTTTTCTTGCCACTGTATGTATGTGGTCTGTGTAACGGTGCCACGTTAAATGGAGTTAGCATGTTAAAGCTTTGTGTCTGTCCGGAGTTCAGTGACTCCCTTGATAGAAGTTCAGTTTAGACCACATAAATGAACCAGTTCACCTGTGAAGTCCCCGGGGTCCCAACAGCGTGTCCCTCCTTACTAAACCTGCAACAGGCCGTCATCTTGGTGTTCCACTGATTTTCCTGATGAAGCGTCAGTCACCGTATTTCCTCGAGTGTGGGCGTGTGGGTACAGTAAATAGGAAATAATTATGAGATAAAAGATAAATGACAGCGGAGCCATTTGCCATCCAGCCTCCTCCCTTTCAGTCTCCAGAGAAGAATCAATACAGAGCACACAAACCCAGCAAGGCTACAAGGTGCTTGTTAGATAGTGAGCACTAAAAACAAAGTCATAAAGACCAGCTAGGCTGATGTAGGGAAGCCAGGAGGATGGCGGCGTGGGCCCAATCTGCTGCAAGTAAGGGTCCCAGACCTTATAGAAAGCATCTAATCTGGAGGGAAGTTTGCACGTGATATTCTCTAGGAAGGCAGTCTAGATTCTGTCTGGCAAATTTAAGGGTCAGAGTCCTGAATCAGAAATGTCTTCAATGCAGCACGTGCGTATAACATTTCCTTAAGCAAATCAGAACTCGGCCTGGATATGTGACAGAGATGCTCACAAGTCTCTGAGCTAGAGTCCAAGTCAAGTCTCAAGTCTGTTGTGGTTATTATGAATGTTGTATCACCTGCTGCGTTCAATCCAGGTTGCTTATAAAACTGCAGAGCTATAAGGAAAGTCTGTAAGTCAACACACTCCCCAGACTCCCGGTGTAACGTTAACTAAATAAAACTGTGACGTTTCTATAATCAACAATAAACCTGTAACCTGTTTTTAACTTGCAGAGCACAACCATGTAATGTGCACTGCAGTAAATGACAGCTTAAACTACTGTAAGTCAACACACCCTGCAGACTCTCAAAGCAGTGTAACGTTATAACTAAATAAAACTGTAAAGTTACATGATCAACAATAAACCCAGTGTTTCCCCTGGCGCTGCTGAATCACGACATGATCATTAAACTCAGCGCTCGGCTCGCTTCCTGTCCTCGTTCTGTGCAGAACACACGTGACAGATGATATAAGAGCAGCGTCGCTCTGAATCAGGAGCTGCGCAGCGAGCGTTTGATTGTCCGAGCGGAGGAAAATATTCTGGCAGTAAATGTCCGGCGTCTGTTACAGAGCGTCGGCTTCTCAAGGCCAAGAAAAGTCTGTTGTTTCCCAGCTGCTGGGAAAGTGAAGCCTGTTAGCGCTGAGTTAGCGAACATCTCCCCTTCAGCCTGAGCAGCTTCTACAGCAGCTACAGAACATTAGCTCATTTATAGAAAGTAACTGGAAGCTGCATTTTATTACTGCCTACGTGTTCATGTTGAGAACATCAGGTCCAAACTGAGACTAAACTGGTGCAGCCTGCAGCTCCGTCCTGCACAGACTGGAGGAGCTGAGCTTAGTGAAGCTAATTACTGATGCAAACTCGTCCTGTTAAACTGATGAGGAGACGTTTCTTTCTGGATTTTAATGTGTAAATAAAATGCACCTCAGAAGGGAGGAGGTTTCTCACGCTGCCTGTTTTTTATATTAATGTCTACAGATAAATGTCACAGAAGGCAACATGAACAGTCGTGTCTATAATGATTCTGAGGTCACATTAAGGGTTTTAGGGGCTGATGCCCAAAACATGTTGTGCCATCGCCGTAAAATCACTGTGGAGCATCAGAACCAACCAGATTTTTTCTCCAGATCTAAAGGTTGTCGTTCCTCCAGCAGACGGATCTTTGGCTGTTGGTTATTTATTATCTGCTCGAGCTTTTCCAACTATTTGTTCAGAGATATGGTGAAAATAACGGCCCAATGTGATGTGAAATTACATATTTTTCATTGGGAAGCACCCCCAAACCAGCACCAAAACATTCATCTAAATCTCACATTAAACTGGGAAACACTGCAGTTTGAAGCTGTTCTAAGGTGCATCGCAAGCTCATGGACACAAGAGCTGCTGAGACATGTTGGGGTTTCGCTGCTGGAAAAAAAATCCTGGAGGAAAAACTGAAACCTGTAACCTCTCTCTAGCTTACGGTAATAATTAACGTGACGGCAGCCAGCGGGACGTAAATGATTACGTTAATCGACCACCACAAGTTTGGCAAGTAAACAAACGCTCATTCATCTTTTCATAACGAACGACAGTCGGAGTTAACCTCTCGTAGGTCGTAGCTGAAGCAAGAAGCAAGCTTACGTTAGATGGCCGATTCTGAGCTAAACATGTTCACTCACCTCAGGTTACTAACCTATTTTGTGTTCAGCGCGTCTTTGTTTGGGTCTTGTTGTATGAAGTTTTAAAGCCAAAGTTTTTGATGAACGGCTCAGCCGCTTGCCGCTGTTTGTTGTCCGCTCTCACGTGCGGCCGCGCGCAGCAGATGCTACGTGTTACGTAGGCAGGATATAGGTAACACAGGGAGGGAATAACGGCAAGCTCATCAGACATCTCCTAAAAATAAACATTGTTCACGAGTCCTGCACCTGGAGTCCGAGTCGAGTCTTTTGAGGACGAGTCTCAAGTCGCTGTGTGTGCGACTTAAGTCGCACTCGAGTCGGATTCTCTAAGCTCTGGTTCCTGGAGCAGCCAAATCAATCTGTGGACAGTGGAGATGGGTGGGTATTCAAGGAAGAACCTAAAAGTGTTTTACATTAATCAGTGCAGTTTGAAGTTTATTCAACTTTAAAATCTTATTCATATTCTTTAGAACATTTCCCGTGTTTCCAAGATTTCATAGTCCTTCAGCTACTTTCTGCACATTAAAGCCAGCAGTTCAGTTTAGCGTCAGCTTTTCTACAGTCCACATCTTTCATACATTTATACTATTCAAATTTGTTCAAGACAGCAATTCAGTTTAGCGCAAGCCATTCAGCAGACAGCATTCACACCGCAATTTCTTCAGAAATAGCTTTTCTAGTTCTTCTTCTTCTTCCGTACGTTTTTTGCTTGACTACTCCTACTGCATACTTTGTGCTACAAAAACTATTCAACTATTACAATGTTCAGCTTTTTAAGGACATTTATGTTATTATATAACTTTATTCTACCTTTTATACATTTTAAACTATTAGGCTTTTTATGCAATTTTTAACATTTAAGTGAATGGAGAAATATTCAACTCTTAAAACTTCTTCAACTTTCAAAGGCTACTGCTTCTGCATACTTTCAGCTACATTCATCAATTCAACTGTCAATTGTTTACAAATCTTTTCTCTATTAAACGTGTATTCAAGTTTTTGATAGCTTCTGCAGTTTTTTCACCATCTCTATTATAGTTTTATAAAGATTTCAAGCACTTTCTGAGTTTATAATGGCAGCGGATGGAGCGGAATGTTGGAGTTAGAGCACGTGACCTCGTCAGAGTGGAGCCAGCTTAAAATTTCATCGTAAAAATTTATTTTTAACTCGCTGCCCTGCCCACAATTTTAACTCATGGTTATCCAAGAAAAGTTGAATCGGGAGCATCTGGATGTGTCAGAATTCCAGTTGCTCTCAATTCAACCTTTTTTGTAAAAGGCTACAGGTTTGATTGAGAAAGTTGTGGATTGTAAATTTTGGAACTTCATCAACAGCTTTTGCTGCTGATGTTGGCATCAGTTACTAGATAGTTTGTTAGTTAGTGAATGTTTTTATTTTTTCAAACAGTTCTCACACACAGGAACTCTGATGTGATATGAATTTGTAATTAGAGTAAACATATCCAGTAAGAATTGAGTGATCACCAATATGGTGCATTGAGCCACTATGATGTATTAATGTGGGTAAATAAACCTGAATTGTTGTGTGGAAAATAAGCTCATAAGCTGAGACGGGATGCAGACACTGAGAGAAGGGAAAGAAAATGATCTTAAGTATCATTTCTTATAAGTGGTATATTAAAATAGGCATTTACAATCGTGTTGTTTTCTATCTCACCATGGTCCACTCCGTACTCTCAAAGACAAGGTACACTTTAGCATTACTGCTCCTCCACTTTCATACATGCACCACTAATATTTAAATAAAATTAAAAATCGTCCGTGTGTGGCGGTGGCGTCTCTTACTGACCCTTCAGAAATGCTTCGGAAAATGTAGCGTGTGTGGAAGCTACTCGGTCAATAAAAGTGCTTTGTTACTGAAAAGCTATTTGATTCAGAAAACAGCAACGCTGCCACCTTGCTACTGAGAAATGTAGTTAACTACACTGCTCAAAAAAATAAAGGGAACACTAAAATAACACATCCTAGATCTGAATGAATGAAATAATCTCATTAAATACTTTCTTTACATAGTTGAATGTGCTGACAACAAAATCACACAAAAATGATCAATGGAAATCAAATTTATCAACCCATGGAGGTCTGGATTTGGAGTCACACTCAAGAAAGTGGAAAACATACAGGCCGATCCAACTTTGATGTAATGTCCTTAAAACAAGTCAGAATGAGGCTCAGTAGTGTGTGTGGCCTCCACGTGCCTGTATGACCTCCCTACAACGCCTGGGCTCCTGATGAGGTGGCGGATGGTCTCCTGAGGGATCTCCTCCCAGACCTGGACTAAAGCATCCGACAACTCCCGATCAGTCTGTGGTGCAACGTGGCGTTGGTGGATGGAGCGAGACATGATGTCCAAGATGTGCTCAGTTGGATTCAGTTCTGGGGAACGGGCGGGTCAGTCCATAGCATCAATGCCTTCCTCTTGCAGGAACTGCTGACACACTCCAGCCACATGAGGTCTAGCATTGTCTTGCATTAGGAGGAACCCAGGGCCAACCGCACCAGCATATGGTCTCACAAGGGGTCTGAGGATCTCATCTCGCTCCTAATGGCAGTCAGGCTACCTCTGGCGAGCACATGGAGGGCTGTGCGGCCCCCCAAAGAAATGCCACCCCACACCATTACTGACCCACCGCCAAACCGGTCATGCTGGAGGATGTTGCAGGCAGCAGAACGTTCTCCACGGCGTCTCCAGACTCTGTCACGTCTGTCACACGTGCTCAGTGTGAACCTGCTTTCATCTGTGAAGAACACAGGGCGCCAGCGGCGAATTTGCCAATCTTGGTGTTCTCTGGCAAATGCCAAACGTCCTGCACAGTGTTGGGCTGTAAGCACAACCCCCACCTGTGGACGTCGGGCCCGCGTACCACCCTCATGGAGTCTGTTTCTGACCGTTTGAGCAGACACATGCACATTTGTGGCCTGCTGGAGGTCATTTTGCAGGGCTCTGGCAGTGCTCCTCCTGCTCCTCCTTGCACAAAAGCGGAGGTAGCGGTCCTGCTGCTGGGTTGTTGCCCTCCTACGGCCTCCTCCACGTCTCCTGATGTTCTGGCCTGTCTCCTGGTAGCGCCTCTGTGCTCTGGACGCTACACTGACAGACACAGCAAACCTTCTTGCCACAGCTCGCATTGATGTGCCATCCTGGATGAGCTGCACTACCTGAGCCACTTGTGTGGGTTGTAGACTCCGTCTCATGCTACCACTAGAGTGAAAGCACCGCCAGCATTCAAAAGTGACCAAAACATCAGCCAGGAAGCAAAGGAACTGAGAAGTGGTCTGTGGTCACCACCTGCAGAACCACTCCTTTATTGGGGGGGTCTTTGCTAAATGCCTATAATTTCCACCTGTTGTCTTTTCCATTTGCACAACAGCATGTGAAATTGATTGTCAATCAGTGTGGCAGTGTGGACAGTTTGATTTCACAGGAGTGTGACTAACTTGGAGTTACAACACAGTGTTGTTTAAGAGTTCCCTTTATTTTTTTTGAGCAGTGCAGTAACGGCGCTACTTGTAGCGACGCTACTGCTCAACACTGCTCGGATGGTGGGCATGTTGAAGCAGGCTCAGTGGCAGGAGGCGCTGAGACGATGAGACCGGCTCTGTCTTCGTGCAGTCAAAGACTAAAGAGTTTATTCCATGCACAGTCAAAGGGCTTCACCGTGTTTGTCGTGTTGCCGGTCTTTTATCTTACGTCGCAAATATTGTTGCATCAAGCCCGGTGCAATGTAGCCATACTTTTGATTTTCTCCACGTCTTTTACATCACCATAGCCAATTCCAATCACTTTTAGATTTGGGCACATCAAGCACGATGCATGCTTATTGGCTCATTGACGTTAACAAGAACCTTTTAGGTATTGAAATTTGGTACTAAAAGACAAGACACTTTTTGATACTCGATGGTATTAAGCAATTCGGTCGGTGCCTAAAAATTATTTAACTCGATACCCAGCCATAGTTTCCTCCACCTGACGTCTCACTTACTGTCTTTATCTCTGTCTCTCTGTTGCTGTAGGAACGGAGAGGAAGACATGGACTCAAATGTCACCGCTGCCAGCACTGTGACAAATCCTTCACAAGATCTGGATATTTAAAGATTCATCAGAGAGTTCACACTGGAGAGAACTGTACAGCTGTGACCAGTGTGGGAAAACCTTCACTCAGTCAGGAAACCTAGAAGTTCACCGACGCGTTCACACTGGAGAGAACCATACAGCTGTGACCAGTGTGGGAAAACTTTCACTCAGTCCGGTAACCTAGAAGTCCACCGACGCGTTCACACTGGAGAGAAACCGTACAGCTGTGACCAGTGTGGGAAAACTTTCACTGCATCAGGTCACCTAAAAATGCACCAACGTATTCACACTGGAGAGAAACCGTACAGCTGTGACCAATGTGGGAAAGCGTTCAATAAATCAGTTAACCTTAAAGTCCACCAACGTATTCACACTGGAGAGAAACCGTACAGCTGTGACCAGTGTGGGAAAGCGTTCAATAAATCAGTTAACCTTAAAGTCCACAAACATATTCACACTGGAGAGAAACCGTACAGCTGTGACCAGTGTGGGAAAACTTTCAATAAACCAGGTGACCTTAAAATCCACAGACGTATTCACACTGGAGAGAAACTGTACTGGTGTGACTGGTGTGGGAAAACTTTCAATAAATCTCTTGGCCTTAAAGTCCACCAACGTATTCACACTGGAGAGAAAACGTACTGGTGTGACTGGTGTGGGAAAACTTTCACTAGATCAGATGTACTAAAAGCCCACCAACGTGTTCACACTGGAGAGAAACCGTACTGCTGTGACCAATGTGGGAAAACTTTCACTACATCAGGTAACCTAAAAGTCCACCAACGTGTTCACACTGGAGAGAAACCGTACAGCTGTGACCATGTGGGAAAACTTTCACTACATCAGATGTACTAAAAGCCCACCAACGTGTTCACACTGGAGAGAAACCGTACTGCTGTGACCAATGTGGAAAACTTTCACTACATCAGGTAACCTAAAAGTCCACCAACGTGTTCACA